TCCAGTGGGAGAAGGCAAAGAGGGAAGTAAAATGATCTTAGGAAGATGCTGGTAAAATGGTCTTTATAGGAACTTTCTGGATGGGTGCATTCATGCAGAAAGCATCCGGAAGAAAGGACACATCAGGAAGCAGGACATAGCCTGAAAGAGCCTCGTACGAGTTTGAGCTCATCATGTCTTGTGCTTCTGCTTATTTTTTATTTTTATTTACTTTTACTTAGTGTTTGCATTTGAAGTCCTCAGTCCCCATCAACTTTGCTATGGATTGAGCATGACTTCTCCTGCCTCCATGTCAGCTGGGGTCACCAGGTTTCCTGGGTTTAGTCTTCTTCACTGCACTTCAGAGGGCTCAGTTCTTGCCCACTTAACTGAGGCGTATCTGTTACTTTGGCTCCTCTACAGTCATATAAATGACCTATTGCATTTAGACATGTTTGAGAAATGGTTGAGCACTTATGTTGTCGCTGTGATCAGGGGACGTTTCTTCACTCTCAGAGGACTCCCCAGAGGGTTCACGGTGTCTCAGAGCACCTCTAAAACTATGTCCTGCCCTGTTATTTCTTGATGTATCTCAACGTATGACATTGAAGAAGCAAACCCAGAGCTACGTGGCGTCCTACAATTAGGACAGTTTTCCCCACGAGGCCAGACAGCCCTTCTCTGAGCCAGCCAGGCTCCACCTGCCACTGGGGCTGGTGAGCTCCGCTGCGCTGGCCGGGCAGGAAAGGAGCGTGGGGGCCTCTGAGTGAGCCGTGGGCACCTCAGGAGGCTCCATCTGGCCCGTCACACCATGAGAGTGCGTGGCGAGACCTCCCCACGGAGCAGCAGGCGGCTGGGATGCAAAGATGCAGCCTGTGCTGAACACTGACCTTGTGGGTACGTCCCTGGCTGCACCCAGGGGATGTGCCAGGGCTCGGGGGTGGCTGTGGGGTGGGCCGAGGTGACCAGCAGCTGGTTGTTCACTGGGGAGATCCTGGAGTGACATCTGTTTATTTTCCTTTATCTTCTTTTCAGGAAGAAAAATGGATCCAGTGAGACAAAATGTGTGACACTGAGAGAGAAGCGCAACAGGCTAGATCGAGGGAGGCAAATCTGCTCCCAGCAAGAGTCGTGAGTCTTTCTGTGCCCCTTTGTGCTCCACGCTGAGACCTTCTGGTTATCGGATGGACCCGTGACGGTGCGACGGCTGCTCTCCCAGGGTGAGCTTTCCCACCTTTCACTGCTAATCCAGACTGAATTGACATTTGTGTTGCGGCTGATGGGAGTTTGAGTTTAGGTTTAGTGCTCCAAACCCAAAGGCTTGTAAAGCAAGGGCTTCCACCCTCCATATCTTGGGGGGGGGGGGGGGTGGAAATAATCTCCCCACTCCTTTTTAAGGGTTAATCTTTTTTAAACACCAACTCTTATGGGGTTGGTGTTAAAAACTTCAGATAACTTTAACATGAGCTCACACAGGCTCGTGGCTGATGGGGACAGGCTGTGTTTGAGGCATCTGGCTCACCACCAGCCCCTGGCAGCCTGGACGAGACCCTTGGCAGAGATATTTGTCACAGACAACTTCTGAAAGGGAAATAAATGAATCCATCTGGTGAGCCCTGGCTGGAAGGAGGAAATGGAAAAGGAAAGAAGGCAGACAGCATTACCCCTGCTCTGCAGTGAGGAGAGAGAGATGCCAGCTGGAGTCCAAAGGTGGAGATAGAAGTAGTGGGGGCTCACCTCGAAAAAGGGGTGGCATGTCTGACCTCTCCCTGAGTATATGCCACCCCCACTTTGGGTACATACCATTGGGCTTCTGCTGTCCAAGGGGGCCTGGGAGCCCCCAGCCACTCTGGAGGAGCCTGAGGTGAAGTGTAGGAGAGCTCTGCCCCTGGCTGGTGGGGGGGCTGGGGACAGCGACCCTTGGATGTGCTTATTTTGAAATTAAGCCTGTTCCTAAATGAAATAAGAGGTGGCACCCCAGGGATGCTGGGGCTTGTTCCCTTTACGTTTGACTGATCCAAGGCCAGGGTGATGTTCAGTCGGTTTAGCTAATTTAGAGCAGTTTGGGTCACCTCTGAGTCACTTTATACTTGGCTCTTTTTCTGCTTACTTTGGTTAATCTCTTTGTCTGAAGGGCAGAGATGGCTTTAGGCTTTGTGTTTCCTGTGGTAGCGATGTAGCACGGTAGCAAATGGGATTTTAAGGGGATGGTTGTAGGGAGAAAACATGTGTCCCTCCACTGCTCCATTTCGCCAGCTGCACATTTGCTTTGGAGACAGCAGCATTTTATCAAGTAAAAGGGAAGCTCTGAATTTGGGAGGCCTTTGTTCACCAAAAGGTCAATTGCTGTGAGCGTGCCAAACCTCTGTATAAAACAGCAATGGCGCTTAGGCTCTGGTGCCCTTCTGGCTAGTTTTAAAAATGTATTTATTTTATTAATTCTAATTGATACATTAAAGAGAAAAACAGACAGCAGGTGTGTAGTGGTTTCAGCTCAGAGGGCAACTGAGCACCATGCAGCCACTCACTTTCCCCTTCCCCCCCAGCGCTGAGAAGGAGAAAATAAGTGACGGCTTGGGATTCAAGATAGGACAGGGAGGGATAAATCACCCATTATGGTCACAGGCAAAAGGCAGACTTGTTAGGGGAAGAAAAAAAACATAAATCTAATACAGATACTAACAACACTTAACAGAGTAGGACAGTGAGAAGCATTACCACATCTTGAGAACACCTTCCCCCCACCCCTCCCTTCTTCCCGGGCTCAGCTCTGCTCCCGATATCTCTACCTCCTCCCCCAGCGGCGCAGGGGCAGGGAATGGGGGGTGCAGGCAGTGCTGCCGCTTCTTCCCTCTTCGGTGGGGGGAGCTACTGGAACTTCTTCCCCTGCTCCAGCGTGGTCCCCCTCTCACAGGAGACAGTCCTCCACAAATTTTCTCTGACGTGAGTCCCTCCCACGGGCCAGTGTTTCCCTACACTGCTCCGGTGTGGGACAACAACCTTCTCCAACTGGATTCCCTCCCACGGCTGCAGCCCTTCCTGAGCTGCTCCGGCGTGGGACTCCCCCCATGCTGCAATCCTCCCAGCACTGAATTACAGCAGCGGGGCTGCCTTTTCCCACAAGACACCCCGGCCTTCTTCGGGCACAGCACCTTGATCAACCAGGCAAAAAAACCCCACAGGCCATAAATCAATGTCTGCTCCACCGTAGATCTCCGTGGGTGGCAGGGGGGGCCGCCCTGCCGTCTCCCCACAGGATACGGGGGGGTCTCTGCTCTGGCACACCTCCCCCCTCCTTTCTTCCTCTGTTCCCCCACTGACCTTGGTGCTCACGCAGCTGCAGCAACTCCTCCTCACCAGTCCCACTGCCCGTCACCACGTCCCTTCTTAAATACGTTATCGCAGAGGCGCAGCTGATGGGCTCAGTTTTGGTGCAGAGGTGGAGCTGACGTGGAGCTGGGGGAGCTTCGAGAAGCTTCTCAGAGGGGGCTGCCCCTATAGCCCCCTCCCCTGCCACCAAAAAAACCCCACCACTCACCCAAACCCAGGACAGCTACCAGCTCTTTTTCTTTCTTATTTGATTGCAATGCTTGGCTGTCGGTGGTGGGTGCCCCGGGGCTTTGGGAGCGTGGGGCAGGCAGGCAGCCAGCGCTGCCCGGGGCCGGGGGGCCCCGTGTCGGAGGGAGAGGCCGACCCTGCGGCACCGAAACCCGCGGGACCCGGCCAGCGTCCCCCCCGGCCCCGTCCCACCCCGCTGCTGGGGGAGGACTTTCCTTCTGCTCCGTTAAGAAAAACCTGCTCACGTGTTTAAGAACGAGCGGTTTGGGATCCCTTTTAAATATCAGGTGGTTCATTTTGGTTTAATGTCTTTGGCAGCGCAGTCGTGCTTCTAACAGGTCTGCAGCATCAGGCATGGGCTGTGTCAAATCACCAATCCTCTTTCCTGTGCTTTTCAACATTACTGAGTGTTCTCTTAAAAAAACAGAGTACCTCAACGTGCTTTCTTTTTATCGTCCAGTCTTTGTGCTTTTCTTTTACATTCATGTTCTCTCTCTTTTAAAAATTACCATCTCTTTCTCTCTGCCTGGCAAAGTTGCTCTGCACCTGTAGTCCACTTTCCTTTATATTTTACAGCCTGCATGGAAACTATTTCCAAAATATTTCTTTTAAATATAGCCTGGGTGCACCTGGACACAGAGCTCCTGGGAATAAATGAGACGGCACTCTTTTTTTGTTTACAAGATCCCTCCTCACACAACCCAGCACCGATCGCCAGAGCCAGCAGTGCCAGGCTTAATTCTGCAGAAACTCCCCAAACTCCATCTATTTCCTAAGTGTTTGTTCCGGTGGCGACAGAGCATTAACAAAACGCCGCTGCAAGCTCACGGGTGCCGTTTGCTGCGTGTGTTCTTCTACTTAACGCGCCAAAGGGAGATTTAGAACGGGGCTACAAATGATTTTTCCCAGAAAACCAGACCTTTTCCACGGAGCCTGCTTTCCACCGGGAGCCCAACCTGCTAAGGCCGGGCGGGCGCAGCCCAAGCCCGAAGCTCAAAACAGTCACCCCCCACCCCCCCCCCCCCCAACTCCGAGCCCCTTGCGAGCAGGGGGGTGCCAGGGCTCTCTGCGGGAGGGAGAGCACCCCAGAAAAGGAGAGGGGGGACACACACTCACGGCAGCATCCCACCAGGGCATTTCCCTCCCTCCCTCACACCTCGTGCTCCCGGTACTTACACGACTGCGCTTGTGGGAATTTCGGCGGGGGAAGCGTTTACGTCCCAGCACAATTTAGTAGCCAGGGATAAAGGAAGAGCCTTTCCCGGGAGACCACAGGCATGCAGAAGAGGCCACGTCTCAATCTGACAAAGTCTTTTTTTCCCCCCCCTTCTGTCTACATATATTTACAAAGATTACCGTTAAAAATAACTCATCCAAGCAAACACAAAATACCAGATGTTCTTTTGTTATCAGATAACATTTTAATGACACCCCCCCCCCAGCAAAAGCAACCCAGCCCAACCCAAGCCCTGCAGACAACCGCTCTCCCCCAGTGCGAAGCCGACGGAAAGCTTAACGTGCGTGCGGTGAGCTAGTTTTACTTCTGTCTTTAGATGATTTTTTTTTTTTTTAATTCAGTAACTCAGAGCTATGGGTCGTTAACGGGAGAACTGATCATATTTTTTAAAACCCGGAGGGGTTCAGCTCCGCCGTCTCCAGAGCTCGGAGCTGGAGGTCCAATTCTCACCACCACCGCGGTGAACGCCCGCGGACAGTCAACACCACTGTTACCTTTTTTTTTTTTTTTTTTTTTTTAATCCACAGACACGGTAATTAAGAAGGGGTAACAGATAACCAAGGGCAAGCGTGGACAAACCGCCAGGCAATGCAGTCCCACCTCCTCGCCTCCGCTCCAGCCCTGTGTCGCTGCAGCCGGGAAGGTAAGGGCTGAAACGCGGCGGGTGCGCCGGCCCGGCGGAGAAACGGTCCAGCAACTCCTCCTAGCTCTTCCTCACGAGGCTCCTTCCTAAACCACGCAGTTCAAGTCCGTATTTAAAATCTTTGGGGTCAAAACCGGTGACTCGTTTGCCGACTGGCGGCGCGATGCAGCAGCACGTCCAGCGGCGGGTCTCGTCGGGGGGCAGGCGGGTTGACTCGGCGCGTTAGGGGCGGGCGCTGCGCGTAACGCGGGGCCGTGACCCCTGGCATGGACCAAACACTCCGGGTCGAGCACGAGGAAGCGAGCGGGAATAGCTGGACTCTGACAGATGGAGGGGGTGGGTTGCTAGTCTACAAACAAGAGGCGTTATTTGCTCGCGTGGGTCAGACCGAAAGGGTTAAGCCCCGAGGCTTAAGTCAGTGAAACTCCCCTTCGTGATTACAAGACCAGGTACTAAAGATATATGCCTCCTTCTTCCAACTAAAGAGATATGGCTCCTTCTTCCAACTAAAGAGATATGGCTCCTTCTTCCAACTAAAGAGATATGGCTCCTTCTTCCAACTGAAGAGATATGGCTCCTTCTTCCAACTGAAGAGATATGGCTCCTTCTTCCAACTAAAGAGATATGGCTCCTTCTTCCAACTGAAGAGATATGGCTCCTTCTTCCAACTGAAGATATATGCCTCCTTCTTCCAAGGATGTTCAACCTGGCGGGTGATTTCTTTTGCATCCATCTCCTTGCAAGACTGCGGTTTGGAAAATCTCGTTTATAAGAACACCATTTCAAAAAGGCAAAGGATGCCTGGGAGTTTTACCGCACCCAAGAACAGCTGCTACCTCAGACTCCCTCCTCCTTTGCGGTCCTTCAGGATTTTTAGAAAACACTGGGAATGGCACAAAACACATGCAACGAACAACACGCAGTAAACCGAAACCACAGTTTCACTGGTAATTTACTCCAGCCTTGCCTAGTGAGTTCTCTTTCAGGAGTTGCACGTCATTCTCGCCGCTTTACGGTCCCTGCTCGCTCTGTTAACGAAAACACAAGTATTTGAAAATACCAACGGTCGCGAAAACACCACGCAGCCTGACAAACGTCCCCCCTTTTACTCCTCTCCTGCGGAAGGGCAGCTCCCTTCCTTTGCAGAGAAGGCCTGGAGCCTCAGAAGCTGGTGGCGTACTCGTTCCTCGTGCTAGCGCTGGTCTCCGTGTAGCCACCGGCCTCTTTCGTTACCGCGAAAGCCCGCTCTGCACCTCGGTGTGGCAACAGCAGCTTGTAGGCTGCCGCCCTGTACTTCTTCGAAATGAGGTTGTAGAGGATGGGGTTGATGGATGCGCTCAGGTAGAAGAGCTGCAGGGCAAATATGTTAAAGTACTGGGAGAACAGCATCATCCTGGTGTCCCGGGTGTTTATAAATATGATCCTGCCAATGTGGAAAGGCAACCAGCAAATTACAAAGGCCAGAACCACCACAGCTATAAGACAAAATAACACATGCAGTAGTTAAGGAGCGAGTTAACTTTCCAACCATCCAGTACAGTAAATTTTACGGGGTTGATTTTGCGGGTTCTTCTAACTGGTACAAATGATAAATAGAAACACCGGCATTAAATTGTTGGAAAACCACGAAAATGGGAATAATATCGAGTCTGATTGTTAGTCTCTGGATTAAAAAGTAACGGGTAAAATCTTCAGCTAAACCACGAGATGAGTTTGCTGAGAAAAAAGGTAAACAGCTAACCGTGCTGTGACATCCAGATAATAACATCAGGCACAACAAAGATTCCCCCTGGCAACCTCGGCCGTCGTGCCGTGTGTGTGTGTGACAGAAGTCAGCGTGAGGGGTTTTTGTGGGAGCACGCAGCGGCCCCCTTCGCTCCAGAGCTGTCTGTGAACACCCTCTGCATCACCGAGAGGGACCGTCCCGCCGGGGCTGAACCGCAGCCACCCGAGCTCCGGGCTGCTTGCTGACACCAAGGCTTACTCTGCGGGTGTTTTATTGTAATTTTTATTTTTATTTTTTTTTTTTTTCCCCCACCGAAGCTCCTACACGTTCCCCCAGACAATTCCTGCCGGAGACAGGAATTTGAAGAGATGAGCTCTAGCCCGAGCCCCTCCAGCTGTTCTCGTGGTCTTCTGTCGCATTTTAGCACAATACAAACAAATACAAACCCTCTTGCTGTGGCAACAGCCCAGGAGCGGATGAGGAACAATTAAATAAGCGCATTACTGTATCCATAGTTTTAATTATTTTGTTTATAAATGCACGTAAGGAAAACAAATAATCATTTATGAAGCATCCTTTGTGTTTCTTGGATACAGCCTACAGTTTATGTCTAAAACGGGCTCTTGGAGAGAAGGGTGAAGTGCTCGGGTTCAGTGGGTTCTGAGGCGATCACGGACCCAGGTGTTTCTGCTAGAAAACCTTCTGCCTACTCCAATGTAAATACCTTCCTCAAATAAGTTAGCAAAATGCACCCTCTCAAGCTCCCTGGTTTTTCTTTCCTTTGTGCTATGCTATTTCCACCCTCGGTAAAAGAATTCTCCCACAAAGCATGTGAAAACTTCACTAAAAGCAGGAAAAAAAAAACAGAACAAAACCAGGTTTATGCTCATCAATCAATAGTCGGATTTCTTTTTTCTTTTCCTTTCATTTTTTGCTTCCCTTCAGTTTGGCCGCTGTTTACAAACTTTAAAGCCCCCGGGGCAGCCTGCGATCCCCTCACTTCCCAGAGCCTGACACTAGGTTAATGAACGTGTGACTGGGAAGAGGAACTAAAAATTAACAGCGTCCTACATCGGCAGGATGCGCTTCGATGTGGCATGGTTCGTCTACAGACGGCTCGGAAGGGTCAAGCTGCTGTTTTTCAGCCTGCTTGGCCAACCGATGGATTGACTCCTAGGAGAAGCCATGAAAGGATGCTGAGAAAATAGAATTTGTTTTTCAGCAGCAGAAATTTGCTACTCAGGGGTGCTGCTGCCCACTGGAAGAGACTACTGTTGTTACCACTAAGTCGTGGACCACCTCGGACTCGGTTCTCGCCCGGCGAAATTCAGAAAAAGGGCGATTTTTACAGAAGGCAGCCGTGCCGCTGGACACGCAGCGCTGCACCAGGTGAAGCCTCAGCCGTGACGGGGCGGAATCCCGGCCGTGGTGGTCCCCGGCAGCACTGGAGGTCTCGCCAGCCTGGCCGGGATGTTCCCCCTCGCCCAAGCAGGAGCTGTGGGTGTTTTGGCCCCAGCCAGAGCCCGAGGCCGGGGGGGGGGGGGACACACACGGAGGAGGGACTCACCCAAGATCTTGACGGTCTGGCGGTGCCCCTTCTCCCGGAGGACGGCGCTGGGGCCTCGCAGGCGGGCGTTGCTCTGCCACAGCTCCCGGCCGATGAAGCCGTAGAGGACGTTGAGGCAGACGAGGGGCAGGACGAAGTAGGAGGTGGTGACCCAGAACATGGTGGCCAGCAGGCCGGATTCCACGGCCCGTGGGGTGGGTTTGCACTCCCGGCTGAAGTCGGTGTGGTTGTCGGGCTGCTCCACGCCAACCAGGAAGAAGAAGGGGCCGGCGGAGAGGAAGGCGAAGGCCCAGAGGGTGCCGATGACGGCCTTCACCCGGCGCTTGGTGATGACCACCTTGGCTTTGAGGGGGAAGCAGACGGCGAGGTAGCGCTCCGCGGTGAGGGCGGTGATGTGGAGGATGGTGCAGTAGGTGCAGCCCTCGCTGAGGTAGTGCGAGAGGCGGCACAGCAGCTGCCCGAAGATCCAGGGCCGCGAGCGCCAGAGGCGGTAGAGATCGAAGGGCAGTCCCAGGAGGATGAGCAGGTCCGAGACGGCCATGCTGCCCAGGTAGAGGTTAGTGGTGGTCTTCATGTCGCGGTGGCCGCGGATGACCAGCACCGTCAGGACGTTGCCCGCCACGCCGACCACGAAGATCCCCAGGCAGACGGCCGTGACGGGGACCAGCACCCGCGCCGGCACCGCCAGGCACAGCCGCTCGTCGCAGGGCGCCCACGGCCACCGCTCGCCCTCGCTGCCGTTCCCGCCGCCGCCCCGCATGCCGCCCGGGGGGACGCGGCCGCCTCAGCCCCCTCCTCCTCCTCCTCCTCAGCCCCCTCCTCCTCCTCCTCCTCCTCCTCCTCCTCCTCCTCCACCTTCTCCTCCTCCTTCTCCTCCTCCTCCTCCTCCTCCTCCTCCTCCTCCTCAGCCCCCTCCTCCTCCTCCTTCTCCTCCTCCTCCTCCACCTTCTCCTCCTCCTCCTCCACCTTCTCCTCCTCCTCCTCCACCTTCTCCTCCTCCTCCTCCTCCTCCTCCTCCTCCACCTTCTCCTCCTCCTTCTCCTCCTCCTCCTCCTCCTCCTCCTCCTCCTCAGCCCCCTCCTCCTCCTCCTCCTCCACCTTCTCCTCCTCCTTCTCCTCCTCCTCCTCCTCCTCCTCCTCCGCCGCCGCTGCGAGGCGGGACGCGCCGCAACCCCGGCCCCGGCCCCGCCCCGCGGCGGGGGGCTGCGGGTTGGGGGGGGGGGGCCCGGCCCCGGCCGCCCCTCAGGTAGGGCGCGCCTCCGGGAAATATAAAGGGGGGTAAAAAAACAAACAAACAAACAAACAAACAAACAAACAAAAAAAGAGGGCGAAAAAAAAAAAAAAAGAACGGGGGGGGTATCAAAAAAAAAGGGGAGATAAAAAAGAGGGGAGGGTAAAAGGGGGGGACGGGAAAAAAAGGGGGGAGGGAAAAAGAGGGGGAGGGAAAAAGAGGGGGGGAAAAAGGGGGGGGAAGGGGGTGAAAAAAGGGGGGGGAAGGGGGGGAAAAAGGGGGGGGAAAAAGGGGGTGAAAAAAGGGGGGGGAAAGGGGGGGGAAAAAGGGAGGGGGAAATGGAGGGGAAAAAAGGGGGGGCAAAAAGGGGGGAGAAAAGGGGGGGGAAGGGGGGAAAAAGGGGGGAAAGAGGGAGAAAAAAGGGGGGGAAGGGGGAAAAGGGGAGGAAAAGGGGGGGGAAAAGGGGGGGAAGAGGGAGAAAAAAAGGGGGGGAAGGGGGGAAAAGGGGAGGGAAAAAAGGGGGGGAAAAGGGGGAAGAAAAAGGAGGGAAGGGGGGGAAAGGGGGGGAAAGGGGGAGAGGAAAGGTGGGGGGAAAAGGCGGTTCAGCAGCGGCGCTGCGCGCACACAGGACCCACAACCAACCACCAAAAAGAATGATACTTTTATTTTCCACAGATTTTTAAAGATACTTTGCTACATAGTTTATGTATGTTCTATCAGACTATACAGGTTCGTCTTCATGGAGTCCGACGTTGTACAATTGTAAAGTGATATGTTTGGTAGTGTATCTATAACGTTTTAAAAAGTTTAGAGTTTCTTTTTTTTTTTTTCTTTTTTTTTTTTTTTTTTTAAATTTATTTTTGGAATGTACAGTATATGAGGTAAAATTAAGATTACATTAAAAACTGTCTTCAATGCAGTAATACGCACTGAGGCTCAAATGGCAAATACACTATTAAATGACTATCAAAAATAGGAGCTCATTTGAATTTTACTATGAAAAACATAAGTCACTGCAGATTAACTGTAGTAACAAATCTTACCATTTTAGACATTCAACCGTAAGAAATCGCTGGGCTGTTACACGCAACCTCATTTGCACTGCCAAACATGGCACTTTTAAGAAGGTTCTAGAAAACATCAGTTATCGCGGTATCCTGTGGGAGGGTATCAGCCTATACGTACAAATGACAAATTTGAAATAAAATGTAAACATACAGTACATTTTAAAGACAGATCGTTCTCGCCACGTGGAGGCCAAGTTCTTCGCCATTTCTTTTTTTTTTTTTTTTTTTTTTTTAAAAAAAAAAAAAAAACAACCAAAACCAAAACCAAAACAAAACTCAGCAACGTTATTCTACAGCACAGATCATTGGACGTATAAACAATTACAATACATGCCCATTCTAATATAAGAGAAATTCTTCAGAGATCTTCAAAGCACAAGACAGAGGTTCCTTTTTTTATTATTATTAAGACCGACAGAAGTGTTTAATACCATTAAAAATGCTAAACTGAACACAACTAGAAGTCATTAATGATCCACTATCTTGTAACTCAAATAAATTAAAAATAGCTAATTACAAAGGGTATAACAAATAACGCAAGTGTGATGAGACAAGGATTTTTTTTTTTTTAAAGATAGTTTCACTACAAGCTCTGTGTCACTGGCAATCATTGACATCTAGCAAGATGTTCAATGGGATACTTGGTAAAATTCAGTCTGGTCATTCAAGAACTCACAAATGCAAGCTCACAAAACATTGATGAGTTATGCAATTGCAAAGTGCTCTAATGCAACATTAACTACATGCAATCAACAATTTGGTACAGTATCCAAAGAGACATTACATTAAACTTCAGGATCTCAAGAAAAAAGCAGCTTTAAGTTTTCTGGTGCAAATTACTACACTTCGTCTTCTGATTTGGTGCCCCAAAGAAAGAAAAGACAGACAGAAAGAAAACGAGAAAAAGGCAGTGCTCGATTCTGGTGGATATGGCAAGTGACTGCTGGGGAAACAGCAAAAATTCGGGCATGAATTTTATCTCGAAAATCTATTAACTAGCCAAAATCAGAGGGCACAGACATCTGTATAAACTGCATCCAATCAAAGGTCAACTTCGGAAATGTGGGTTTCGATTTCAGTAACAAGTCTAAGAAGTTCCCTCACACTCTCCCTCCTATCTCTGTAGGAAGTAAAAGAGGCATTTTTGTAAGTAAACATCAAAGCCTGGGGGTAAGATAAACCACTTGTGCCATCCCCTTGCAGTCTTTCGAAAACATCTACTTGCAGTGAAGAACTCCACATTTATCAGATAAGAAGCTTCCTTCACGCACACTCTTCCATCCAGTTTATTATTTGCTGCCTGAGAAAAGCCCCTTCTGTTTTTCAGCGTAAATCCTGCTTCCCAAATAATTAAGACAAATGAGGAGGTAGAAATACAGCGCTAAATTGCTTTCACAGCATCAGATTAATATTGTATACAGCACAAGTTTGTTAGTGTACGTTTGAAAGGCGATCTGCACGTTCTTCCCTGTTGTGGTAGCATCCCTTAGATGCGTGGGCCAGGAAACCATTTTTTTTTTTTTTTTTTTTTTTTTTTGACACTCGTGTCTACTGGTCAAACCCTTTTCGTGGAACACTGCTTGCCTGCCCCATACGGGGCTCGTACTGCAAGAAGGCATATTAAAGGAAAAGACTGTATTCCTGTGGCTTGCGTTCTAGTAACATGTGTCAGCCTACACCTACCAGTAAGCATCTCCGAGCGGCTGAAAAGGTTTGCCTCAGTCCCGATGCCGGTGCTAAATGCCTGTTTTTGTAAAAGCAAGAGAACAGAATTACTTTTAGATTATGAGAAAGTAAAATGGAATGGGCGGCGTTCTAAAATAAACCTCTTTTCTTCACTTTATTACGAAGTACTGGATGATAACAGCAATCAGGATGGCAAAGATAGCAAAAAGTGCGAGGATGACAGCAGCACACGCTTGGTCGCTCTGCGACCACTGTGTCCTTGTGGTCTGCAGGGGGTCCTTGCTGGCGCTCGCCGGAGGGTCCGTCCTCTGAGAGACCAAGAGCACGGGGGCACTGTAGGGGCCTACCAGGTCCTGGGGCCCCGCTGCCTCTTGGCACTGGCGGATGGCACACGCGCGGAAGCGGTATTCACAGTTCAGCTGGAGGCCCGTGTATCGGAACGACCAGTCCGGACCCTTATAAAGCTGGCAATAAAGGGGAAAAAAAAAAAATATATAAACCCAAAAAAACCACGATACGTCAAGTAAAAACGTCCTACGTACACGGTGCAGGTGACTGTAAGAAAGGGTGACTCCTCATCAGCGTTTTCAGCCATGCCAAGAAAAACGGCCAAAAAGCTCACAACCGTAATTCAAATGCCAGATAAAGTCTTCAGTCCTTTGGGTGAAGCAGCACAGGGAAAGAACTCCCAGTGTTTTTTACAGCGTGACGAGTACACGCCAAATAAACTGTCAGAGGCCCCAGTGTCAAGGTGCTTTTAGCGACCGCTTCCAATGTAAATACCGTACCGTGGGGCGCAACACCCTGCGCCGCATCACAGGATTTTAGGTGATTAACTCTGTATCAAGCTACTTCACTCACTAAGTCTAAGCCCATCCAGCACGCTGTGTTGTAGTTAAGGTAGCGTGTCTTTAAAATACTGTAATTTATCCCAGTAAACATCAGGAAAGCTGCAAGGAGTCCTCTCTGTGAGCCTTCACACCACCAGATCCCGAGACGCAGGTTGTTTTTACTGTGATGTTCTCCACGGGTCCCTCAGCCGGCTGCTCAGCACAAGGAGACTCTCAAGTTCCGTGCACGACTCTCTGGCATGGAGCACCACTGAAACCTAAATGCTCGTTTCTCAAATTAATTAACTTGCAGCTATGTAAAGGTCCTGTAAAAGCCAACGAAATCCCACGTGGGCGCAATTTGCTGCTTATAGGTGCATCAGCAGGTACTGAGCTATTATGTGGGTAGCATGGTATGACCTGATTCCTCTCTTTAAATCCCTTCCTCCTCCCTCACCCCCCAAATACCTGGATTTGCTTTATTTAATTGGTAGCAGGATATAGAAATACCACATCGTGCGGAACTCTTCCCTACAGTTACCGTACTGTCAGATGGTATTTCACAAATGCAAACTACCAACCATCCAATGGAAGAAGCAGGCAATTTCTTCCAGTTTTGTTGTTTGAAGAGCTGTGCCTGTGCCTGCTCAAGAGACTCAGGAAGTTCTCTGACAGCCCCCGGGCTTTACCGGAATCTACAACAGGGAGATTTTTTTTTTTTTTTTTTTTTTTTTTTATTTTTATTTTTCCCTCTCAAAAAACGGTTCCTGCGCTGAGACAGGGCAGATCACCGGTAGTGCAGCTTCCTCAAAATTCTAATTTCTGTCACGCATTTAGGAGTGAGCAAAACAGCCCACAGGCACACACCCTGCTCCAGCTCCAGCTCCGCCAGCCAGCACGGCTTACTGTCCTCAGCCACTTGCTCCCCGCGCCTTGTCAGAATTTTCCTTCCCCTCAGATTTGTTTGCTG